CAAAAATAATCGGTGACTAGTCGACTATCAAAATAATCGTTTGTGGCAGCCCTACTTAAAAGCATCTTGTGCAGCAGTAAAACAGCGTGTCAGGTTAACATTTAGATTTATTATTACCTGCTGAGTCTAATCTGTGTCCTCTGCGGCGCCTCCTGCAGGTGAAGCGGACATATTCCCAGGGAACGTACCGAGCTGGGGCCATGCGGCAGGTCAGTCTGGTCGGAGCTGTGGATGAAGAGGTCGGAGACTATTTTCCCGAGTTCATCAGCATGTTAGAGAAGTCTCCTTTCCTGGAGGTTTGTTTGCTTGCATCTGTATTTCTGCACAGCACTGGAGTCAGTGGCGTGTCAACATCTGTTTAACTTCTGCCTGTGAAGTGCTGCGAGGTGTTATGTAACCCGACGTTTCTCGTCCTGTGTTTGTGCAGCGGACCCTGCCCTGGGGAACTTTCTCCAGTCTGCGGCTGCAAAGCCCCACAGAGAGTGACGACGGCCCCATCATGTGGGTCAGACCTGGAGAACAGATGATACCTCTGGCAGACATGCCAAAATCACCTTTCAAAAGGAAAAGGTGTGTTCGCCCTGTCTTTAAAGCAGCTGCATTTATCTTTTAGGGGTACCTGCACATCTCGAATTTGTTGTGACTCTTGTAAATAAATGTATTTCAGGTCCACCAATGAGATAAAGAACCTGCAGTACCTTCCTAGAACCAGTGAGCCCAGAGAGATGCTGTTTGAGGACCGGACGAGAGCTCACGCTGACCACATCGGTCAGGGCTTTGAGAGGCAAACTACTGCAGCTGTCGGTGTGCTGAAGGCTGTGCGCTGTGGAGAGGAGTGAGTTCAAAGTGACATCTTCTTATGTTTTTAAGCTTATCACTTAAACATCTGTATAAGAACAGCTGTGTATTATATATTAGACTAACAGAGATGGTTACAAATTTTATGAAGGTAAAACGGCAGCAGTCAAGACAGGCAATGTAAAATACTGACATTTACAGTCAAGGTCAGCTTATTATTTGTGTGCTGTTAATTCCAAATATCATGATATTATATAATAATATGTCTACAGTAGCTTTTGCGTCTTTTTCTTTGCTGATTAGAGATTGATCACAAACGTTGTGTGTATTCTTTACAGCAGCGACACTGCTGCGCGGATCACCAAAGACGTCGTGTGTTTCCACGCAGGAGATTTTCCAGATGTGGTTATGAGGCTGCAGCTGGATCTCCACGAACCCCCACTCTCTCAGGTGGGCCGGCGTTTTTAACAGTGTCTAGGGGTACATGCCAGATATAAATAAATATTTTTTTGTCTCTCAGATCACGTCTTCTTTAAAAAGTGTGCAAATATAAATTTTAAAATGATAAAAAATAATAATTAATAGATTGCCTATATTTGCAGCCCATATCTTTCAACACACTGTATAGTAGGGGTGCAACGATACACGAAATTCATGGTTCGG